GCCACTATGGAAAACAGTGTGGAGATTTCTTAAAAAGCTGGAAATAGAACTGCCATATGACCCAGCAATCCCACTTCTGGGCATACACACCAAGGAAACCAGATCTGAAAGAGACACGTGCACCCCAATGTTCATCGCAGCACTGTTTATAATAGCCAGGACATGGAAGCAACCCAGATGCCCATCAGCAGACGAATGGATGAGGAAGCTGTGGTACATATACACCATGGAATATTACTCAGCCATTAAAAAGAATTCATTTGAATCAGTTCTAATGAGATGGATGAAACTGGAGCCCATTATACAGAGCGAAGTAAGCCAGAAAGATAAAGACCATTACAGTATACTAACACATATATATGGAATTTAGAAAGATGGTAACGATAACCCTATATGCAAAACAGAAAAAGAGACTCAGATGTATAGAACAGACTTGTGGACTCTGGGAGAAGGCGAGGGTGGGATGTTTCAAGAGAACAGCATCGAAACATGTATATTATCTAGGGTGAAACAGATCACCAGCCCAGGTTGGGTGCATGAGACAAGTGCTCGGGCCTGGTGCACTGGGAAGACCCAGAGGGATCGGGTGGAGAGGGAGGTGGGAGGGGGGACCGGGATGGGGAATACATGTAAATCCATGGCTAATTCATTTCAATGTATGACAAAAACCACTGCAATGATGTAAAGTAATTAGCCTCCAACTAATAAAAATAAATGGAAAAAATAAAAAGAAGTCTATTTCAATTTAGACTCCATATCTTTTGTATGAGAGTTGCCTTTTTCTCTCTAGATGGTTTTAGGACCTTTTCTTTACCTTAGGTACTTTGAAACTGCATAGTGAGGTGCTTTGTAGCTCTTCCCCTTAACCGGTGCTTGAGTGTGTCTTTTCATCAGGAAACTACGCTCTTCAATTCTGAGCAATTTTCTTGAATTATTTCTTTGACATATTTCTCTGTTTTCTCCAGTCTCTTCATATGGAGCTCTTACTTATCAGAAGTTGGTTCTTGCATACTGCTCCTCTAATTTCCTAGTTCTTTCCTATTTCTCTTTGATTTTTGGATGTGGGAAATTCTAATTTTTCCCTCCTAAATCCAATTCTACATTTAAAATCTGTTGCTACCATATTAATGTCTAGGAGCTTTTTCTTATTTTCCATTCTTGTTTTATGGAGGCACTGTGTTACCTCTCTTTGGATATTACCAACAGAAATTTATAAAGTTTCCTTTTGTCCCAGGGTTGGCAAACTACAGTCCACAGAGGAAATCTGGACCACATCATATTTTTGTATTGCCTACAATCTAGGAATGGTATTTACATTTTAAAAGGTTAAAAAATAAAAAACAAAAAAGAATATGGATGCAGACTGTATGTAGCCTGAAAAACATAAAACATTCTTGTCTGGCCTGTTACAGTTTGCCAACCCCTGTTCTATTACACTGTTTCTGTTTTCTAAAAGTTCTTCCACCTTCTGATAGTCTCTTGTGATATTTTAAAGCAATCCATAGGTTCCAAGGCATCAGACCAACATAAGACAGGGTTGTCACCTGTCTTAGAGAAGACTACTGCACTTTCCTGCCTTGAAGATATAAGATTGTCAGCTGAGGGAGAAAAAGAGAATAGAGTTCTCACATTCCGTAGGTAGACTTTTCTTACCCCCATCTTTAACCCCTTCTTAGCTGTACCCACAGTTAAAGAATATATAGATTCTCTAGTTCATTATATCCAGAGAGTAAACCTGGATGGAGCAGGCTGTCTAACTACTTCTTATACTAACATGTAACCAATTCTAGAATAGCTCCAAGTCCTCTAAGTTTTTCTATGCTTGAATCTGGAAGATCTTATTAGCTTTCATGACTACAGATTTAAATTTCAGCTTTCTCTTGCCTGTTAAGTCATTCATTCATTCATCTGTTTTTCTGTGTTCAAAATTTATTGACAGTTCATCTGTTACTATCTCTTCTCCCACTCTTTTCATGTCTATAGATTTGACATTTTTATTCCTATAACATCATGGGATTTTGAGAGGGGGTAAAAATTGATATAAATGTTTGCTTTCTCCATAGGGACTTTAAAAATCTAAATTTTATATGATACTCTTTTGTGATATTTTAAAGTAATCCCTAGGTTCCGAGGCATCAGACCAACCAAAAAATTGGAAGGGCAGGATAGGAAGATGGATACTGTCAATTGTTATGTAACACCTACACCATTTTATAAAACAGTGTTGAAAATCAATGTAAAGTCAGGGTGCCATTCTATCGTGGTCCCACTTTGGTTAAGTTTAAAGTGTTCTATAACAAAAAGGCATTAAGTTAACAAAACAGTTCAGAGAAAAAGGTTTCACCTTTTCTTTTTCCCATTGTTTTCATACTGCCTTGCTCAAATGAATTATGCCCACTTAAGACAAAGATTACACTTCAGTAAAGCAGAACCGTTAGGAAACTTATAGTGCAGTTGTAACCTGGTCACAAAACCATCTGGTCCATTCCTGAAAGCTGTTATTACATTTCATGGGCTTATATTACTTCAAATACGCTAAGAGTCCCATGTGGGCTTAAAAAAAAGATAACATTTTTTAAACTCAATTTGTTTCTGCTTATTTTAGTCCTTCTAGACAAATCTCTTATAAGAACAGTGCCTTAGTATAAGCACCTTTTATGTCAATCAATACACATTATGAATTTTACCATATGATGTAAAACATTCACTTGATTTTTTAGTGGATGTTTCTTTGTAATAAATTGCTACTTGTTGATTCTACTTCTCTAAAAATCAGTAAAATAACAGGCTGTCACTTTTTAATTAATGAAATAATGAAACTATAGTATTATATATCAATATTATAAACACAAGCTTTTCTGAAATTCTTGAAAAGTATGTTTCAAAGCTCTAGAAACTCTCTGGTCAATATGGTATAGCTGGAAAAGCACTGAACCTGGCATTTTTCACTAATTCAACAAGTACATACTTTGCATCTATCCCCCAAGATGAGACACAGTTGCTAAGAATGTAAAAACGTCTAATAAATGTTTAGGGAAGGAGACAGATATATAAACAGGCTATTCCAATATAATGAGATATATGTTACAATAGAGATAAGTATAAAATGCTATGGGTTTCCCACAGAGTAAATAACTCTAGTTGGAGAAATTTTTAAAAGTCTTCATAAAGGACATGACCTCTTCAACTAGGTTTTAACTGGTAAACTTCCCAGATGAATTGTATGGTAACTTGAATATGAAGGCAAAGAGTAATGAAAGGATATGGTATATTTATAGTTTAATAATGAGATGTTTATATTTAATAGAACTTTAGTGGATACAGGTAGGGTATAAGGATGAAAAAGCAAGTATTAAGGTTTTAAATGTAGGTGGGCTCAAGACGTGAAGGTGCATTTAGCAGCTATGTGACATTAGGCAAGTAACTTTATCTTCACAACCTGCTTAATACATGTAGAAAAAGTTTATAAGTGACAAAATAAGATACAAATATACTTTTGCTTCAAAAGGTTTCTGAAAATTCAAGGCATTGCTCATACTGAGAAACAAAATAATCAACTGAGCTAAAAATATTTATTTTCCTGAAATTCAGCATAGTAACTAAAAGTCAAGAATTTTAAAACAAATATTCAAGTTCCCCTAGAAATTATTTGTTGAATACTAAAATTCTAATACAACCAACAAGTCAACCAACAGGGAGAGACAAAGTAAGTAGATGGACTGCTTCAAGGACAATTTCCAGTGCAACTTGATGCCAAGTACAAGTGGGATTTCTAGGAAGAGAAGGGCAGCAACTTAACCATATCAGTAGGTTAAACATAGAACTGAATAATTCAGTTTGAACAGAAACAACTACAGAATATCATTCTGAAATGATGGGGAAGGGAGTAGGTGATGTGTTTTAGGACTTACTTTAGCTATTGCAGTCCTATGTCATCAACATATGTAAATCTGAACACAAATGCATTCTGGTCTGCTCAGGTTAAATGAGCTAATGTGAATAAATAAGACGCAAGAAAAATATAATTTCTAGATTGGTTAGGGTAGGTAATGGTTAGCTGCAGGTCTTCGGGCTAAACTGAAAACGTGTCATATGGCCATGTTTTTGTGATTTTGCCCTTAGCCTGTGTTCTTCTATTTGAATTTTCTGAATTTTATTTGTATAGCTTCACAGGAAAAAACTATTATATGCATAAAAAAAACAAAATCACAAAAACAGAACGATATAATGCTAAATTAGATTATAAATAATCTAATAATTATAGTTTCATAAATTTAAAGTGTTGATGTCTTGTTGGACAGCAGTCCCCAACCCTTTTGCATCAGGGACAAGTTTCATGGAAGACAATTTCTCCACAGATGGCAGCTGGGGGGCAGGGTGGGGGGGAGATGGTTAGGAGGGGTTTCCAGTTTCACTGGCTGCTCATCTCCTGCTGTGTAGCCCAGTTCCTACAGGCCACAAATGAGAATGAGTTGGGGAACCCCGCTGTAGGACCTCATGTGAAATTATGGTATAAAATGGTGTTTTAAAAACTAGTTCCACAAAGCACAAATCTTAACAGACCACAATCTTTGGAAAAAGGAGTATTATAATTAAATTTTACTGTCAGGGCCTTGAATTCTCCAGTACCATAAACACAGTTTGTTTTTAATCATTCTTAGTTTGCTTCTTATCATCATTTGGGTTCTGATGTTCACAAGATAAAATTTTGTTTGGTGGTGAGCTTCTATAAACATCTACTGAGCACTTCTGTTGTATACTCACTGACCAATCATAAATCTTTGCACTTAAGCAAATATTGAGTTTCATTTATTTCATTGACTCTTTCCACTTTCACTTCTGACATCTATCACTGAAAATATACGAGTACCAAGTGTTCCAGTAAAATAAAATTCCATCAAATTTACTTATAAGGAATAAAGCAGCAAGACTAGCTGTATGCATAGTCCTGGTTGGAGATAATATTACAGTAGTGTTACATTAAATTTCACTCCACTTACCTACCAAGGGCCTGGTTTAAGGCCCTGTATGCTTGAATTTCATACCACTGACGACCTGGTAAAAGACCTCTTAATTTTGAATGCTGATCATTATACTGTCTCTTTAGTTCAACCTGTAATTTTAAAATATAAAGAATACAGTAGATAACAAAAGCTCATTTAAAAATCCTATTAACTTCTAACATTTTGACTATCATTTAATTAGGGTAGAAAGATTTTTTTTTCAATACTAAACTTTTTTTTGGTCATTTAAAACATTTCCATTCACCTTAACACTACCTAAATTCATACATGAACATAATTAATCAGCTCTGTGATAATATTAATCAGTTTTAGACATAATTTATATATGACAAAATTCTCAAACTTTCAATGTACATGTAGATAAATTTTAATAAAAGTAACCACCCTCCCAATCATAATTTAAAATATTTTCACTTCCTAAAAATTTTTTTTCTATCCTTCTTCAGGCAAATTCCTTTATTGCTGACCTGGTCAACCAATGATCTGTTTTCTGTTTTGCTTTGTCTAGAATTCTATGTAAATGTTATTACACTGTATGTAACCATTTGTGTCTTTTTTCATCCAGCATAATGAGTTTGGAATTCATTCATGCTGAAACATACATCAGTAGTTCATTATTTCATGTTTATCTGCTTGATAATCTCTGTTTTTTAATTGGGATGTTTAGACTATTTATATTCAATGTAATTACTGTCACGCTCTGTTTTCAACAAGAAAAAGTGTGCTAAGCTGCTTCAGTCATGTCTGACTCTTTGTGTCCCTACAGACTTCAGCCTGCCAGGCTTCTCTGTCCATGGGATCCTCCAGGAAAGAATCCTGGAATGGGTTGCCATTTCCTCTTCCAGGGGATCTTCCCAACACAGTGATCCAACCGAGTCTCTTACGTCTCCTGCATTAGCAGGCAGATTCTTTATTGCTATCGCCACCTGGGAAGCCCCAATTACTGTCATGATTTGGTTTAAATCTACAGTATAGAAAACACATTCTTCTCAAGTACATATCAAACATTCTATAAGACAGATGGGCCACAAAATAAGTCTTAAAAAATGTAAGACTGAAATTACATCAAGTATCTTTTCCAACTATAATGGTAAGAAATTAGAAATTAATAATATTAGGAAAACTGAAATAGTCACAAGTATGTGGAAATTAAAGAATATATACCTGAACAATCAATGGGTCAAAGAAATCAAAAGTAAAATCAAACAGTATCTTGACACAAACAAAAATGGAAACACAAGAAACCAAACTATGGGATGTAGCAAAAACAGTTCTAAGAGAGAAGTCTATAGCAAAAAAAATGCCTACATTAAGAAAAAATAAAGGTTTCAAATAAACAAAATAACTTTACATCTTAAGAAATGAGAGAAAAAGAACAAGCTAATCTCAGCAGAAGGAGGGAAACTACTAAGACAAGAGCAAAAATAAATGAAACAGACCAGGAAGAAAACAGAAAAAAAAAAAATCAATAAAACTAAGAGTTGTTTTTAAAGATAAATAAAACTGATAAACTTTTGCTAAATAATTAAGCAGAAAATAAGGAGTCAAGCAATGTTACAAATGAAAGCAAAGATTACAACTGATATTACAGAAATACAAAGAACTGTAAGAGACAACAGACACAGAAAATCTGAACAGACCTATAAAAAAGGACATTAAAACAGTAGTCAAAAACCTCTCAAACAAAGACAGGCTCAGGACCAGATAACTTCATTGGTGAGACTGAAATTCTACTAAGCAATGACACCATTTTACTAAGAATTGACACCAATTCTTCTCAAATGATTCCGTAAATACTGAAGAGAGGGGAACATTTCCAAACTTACTTTAAGAGATCCCCATTTCTCTCATACCAAAGCATGTAGGGACACTATAAAAAAAGAATTCTGAGTGGCAAAAAAACTCTTGACAGAACAGTAAAAGGATCATACATCATGATCAAGTGGGATTTATCCCTGAAATACAAATTGGTTCAACATACATAAATCAATAAATGTGACACACCACTACCACAAAATGAAGGATAAAAATATTATCTCAATAGATGCAGTAAAAGCATCTGACAAAATTAAATATCCTTTCAGATAAAAGTTTTCAAAAATGAGGCATAGCGAAATGTAAACTCAACATAATAAAGGCCATAGAGACAAGCCCATAGATAACATCCTACTTAAAAGTGAAGAGCTAAATGCTTTTCCTCTGAAGTCAGGAATGAGAGGTGCCCTCTCTTACCACTTCTATTTAACAAAGTACTAAGTCTTAGCCAGACCAGTTAGACAAGAAAAAGTAATAAAAGGCATCCAAATCAGAGAGGAAGAAGTAAAACTGTTTGCAGATGACATGATCTTGTATGTAGAAAATCCTAAAGATCTACCAAAAAACTCTTAGAACCAATAAACGAATTCGTAAGGTTGCAAGATACAACAATCAACATACAAAAATCAAAATAAACATACTAAATAGTGTTTCTATACACTAACAACAAACCATCCAAAAAAGAAAAAGAAGAAATTAGGAAAACTACCCCATTTACAATAGCATCAAAAAGAATAACATTCTTTGGAATAAATTTAGCCAAGGAGGTGAAAAACCTTTACACTAAAAACTATAAAACACTGATGAAAGAAACTGAAGAAATACAAATAAATGGAAAGATCCTGTGTTTATGGATAGAAATAATTAGTATTGTTAAAATGTCCTTATTACCCAAAGTGATCTACAGGTTTAATAAAATCTCCACCAAAATCAAAGTGACATTTTTTTTACAGAAACAGAAAAAACAATTCTAAAATTTGTATGGAACCACAAAAGACCCTCAATAGTCAGAACAATATTAAGAAGAAGAACAAAGCTAAAGACAACACATTTCCTAATTTCAAACTCTGGTAATCAAAAGTTTGACTTACATCAATTTATAAATTTTATTTATATTAAAAACTTTAGTAATAAAAACAATATGGTATAGGCATTAAATCACTCAGGCCAATGGAACAGAAGAGAGAGTTCAGAAGTAAATCCACACATATATGGTTAATTAATCTTTGACAAGGGCAACAGGAACAGATAATGGAGAAAGGATAGTCTCTTTAGGAATGGCACTGAGAAAACTGGATATCCACATGCCAAAGAATGAAACTGGATCCTTATCTTATACCATATATAAAAATCAATTCAAAATGAATTAAAGACTTAAATGTATGATTTGAGACCATAACACTCCCAGAAGAAAACAGGAAAAAGTTCCTTAGTCTCAGCAATGATTTTTTGGATATGACACCAAAAGCACAAGCAACAAAGGCAAATGAAACAAGTGGGACCACATTAACCTAAGATGCTCATACGTAAGCACCGTACACAGGAACAAATGACAAATGAAAAGACAACCTATGGAACAGGAGAACCATACATCTGATAAGAGGTTTATATCCAAAATATAAAAGGAACTCATGCAACCAACAACCAAAAAAAAGTAAAAAACAAAAGAAAACCTGATTTAAAAATAAGCAGGTCCCAAACAGGCATTTTTTTCAAAGAAGACTCACAAATGGCCAGTGGGTATATGAAAAGGTGTTTAACATTACTAATCATTACCAAAATGACAAAAGATGACAAGTGTGAGCAAGGGTATGAAGTAAAAGGAACACTTATACATTGCTGTTGGGAACGTAAATTGGTATAGCCATTATGAAAAATGGGATGGATACTCCCCCAAAGAATTAAAAATAGAACTACCATATAATTCAGCAATCCCACTATTGGGTATATATCTAAAAGAAATAAAATCACTGTCTTGAAAAGATGTGTGCAATCCTACGTTCACTGCAACATTTTTAACATGTGCAAGATATGTAAACAACCCAGGTGTCATTGACGAATGGATAAAGAAAGTGTAAACTATACACACACACGTGTACATACAATGGAATATTATTCAGCCATAAAAAGGAAAGCTTGTCATTTGTAACAACATGAATGAACCTGGAGGATATTATACTAGTGAAATAAGCCAGACATAGAAACACAGAAACACAGCCATGACGTCACTTATACATGGCATCTAAAAATGCTAAACATATTGAACTCAAAAGTATGTGGTTAGGTAGTAGGTGAGGGGTAGAGGAAATTGGGAGATACTAGGTAAAAGAGTATAAATTATCAGTTACTTTCAGTTATAAGTATAAGATGAGTAAGTTCTGGGATCTGAATGTACAGCATGGTGACTATACTCAATAGTAATGTACTGTACACTTAATATGCTAAGGCCTTAAGTGTTCTCACCACACACTGAAAAAATAGTAACTATGTGAGGCAATGTTTATGTTAATTACCCTGATAATGGTAATTTTACAATATAAATTACCACATTTTACACCTTAAACATATGCAATTTTTATTTGTCAATTATATCTCAAAGAAAATGGGGAAAAAAGAGGTCGATACAGTGCGGTGACAAACTTTCTGCCGGCTTTGATCCTGGTTTTGAAAAGATGGATCCCTTATTTCTGCGGTAAAAATCTTTCCTGGCCTCAAAAGAGACCATAAATAACAATGAAAGTCAAATGAAAAACTGGAGAAGTTCTGTTACCTAATACACAATGAGCTTATACATAATCAATAACAAAATTTCACTACTAAAAGTGAATAATCTGTGAGAAATCAAGTCATCAAAGATGAATGATAAATGGCTAACTGGTAATGATAAATGATAACTGACATGAAAAGATGTTCAACCTTATTAATAAACCAAGAAATGTAAATTTAACATTTCCATTGTTTTCATTTGTAGAATACTGAAAAACATTTACCAAATGTGTTTATATTTTCCAATAACTATAGATAAAACTTCATTACATCTTTGTATTGAAGAAAATTAAGAAATAATCCAAATGGACATCAAGTGGATCAATGAAATATAGTACATTTATTCTGAGATAAATATTGGGTTACTATACAAAAAGAAATAGATCTGTATGTTCTGACATGGAAATTTAGCCAAGATATATATTTTAAATAAAAAATAAAGTAAAACACAGACAACACATACATACAAATGGCCAGGTGTCATGTTAGGAATATGGACCACAATTTA